TCATTTGCATTAAAGCTACGTCACAGAATCAACCCCTGCAAAAACAGAGCTGGAAAGAGCAAATAGAGCGAAATGAGGCATGGCTAAAATGCAGGATCTGTTTGGTATTTTGAAAAAAAACCTATATTTATATACTTTGTATAGGTATGGCCCTACAATATATTGTTCAAATATAGCATGATAGGTCCACTTTAAATATGTCAACAAGTGTGCTTTCTTTCATTTCCTGTTGGTTACATTTTTGTAATGATGGTTACTGGTCGTCATCCCACTTTTAAACAAAGTGCCTGTAAACACAATGTGAACAAACACACTTTATTGAAGTTTATTAGAATGAAAAACTTTTAAATGAAAGTGTCTGGGTTGTGCATGAATCCAGACCTCTCTCAGTACTACACTTATTGTGTAAATCACCAATGGATGTCAAATCTGTTGACTCATGCAATGCAAGCCAATAAACTCATGCATGTGCACTTTAAGAGATATTTTGATACAGAATTGCACACACAGTATTATTTAGATGCACAAATCCACTACATATCTGGCCTGTACCCACGTCATAGAGGCCCCCCTGAGAAGTAATTTATGTAATCAAAGCTTTGAAATGAGAATGAAGTTAATATTCTTCAGTGGGATCCTTAACTGCTGCAAGGAAAGAACTAGTGAATCCTCTTTACGTAGTAAATATTCAGTAGTATGAGTGAATAAGTACTTGGCTGCTCTGTATATCCTGTATCCATGAATATGACTGTAAAATAACTCGACTCTATCAGGTAGAGTCATTGGAGCGCAGCTGTGCAGAGTCAGCGATTTACTTTGTTTTACAAGGATTATTTTGATGTGATTATGTTATGCACAAAAGCCTGACCTTATTTTAGACGGGACATCTGATTAATACTAAATAGATTGGAAGTAACTAATGGAACATCTCAGTTATAAGATGAGAAACTGCAATTTATGCAAAAAGAGACTGTGATAGATCATAATGTGTTCCAAGTCTCTTACAGGACGAACATAAATCTTAAATGTGTGAGTTTTACTGTCTTCTTACTCTTTCACAACTTTCCCCTCAATTAATTTCCTCATATTTTATTTGGACCTCTTAGTCTTAGCGTGTAGCGTTGAGGAGCCGGAGTGTGTTGTCTCTTTCTTGGCAAATGCATTACACTCTTTCGGTGGGGCATTGGGGGGTGGAATGAGAACGCAAAGAACCAGAAATTATTTAAAAGGTGCTGGATTAATTACAAGATAGCCTATTATCACGTGTTTATTTTTTTATATATACATCACGGTTACTGTCAACATAACGCCATAAAGTATGACGAAATAATTTCCAAACTTTGCATGATATTTTCGCGCTAACCAGCAAATGTTAGCACGTTACTAATATTACTATATTATATATATCTTAACTAAGATGTTAAACATGGTCAACATGATTACCATTTACATGACAACATCAGCATGTTAACTTTGTTGTTGTGAGGATGTTAGCATGTTAGCCGTAACCATTCAGACTAACCTAGCGGCTAGCATAGCTGGGTATTGTTCCCCAGTGGGCCTCCTGTCATGGTCAATAAAGTAAAAATACATTAATTGTTTTAAAATGCTGTTGAGCAGAGAAGCGAGTTTTCATTAAAATAAATGACCAGACCCATAGGATGCCCTGTCATCATAACTGCTTTGAATACAAGCTGTAAAGCATTACAGAATAATCGTTTTCCAGTACCAGTATCAAAGTGAGTGTGACTGCGCTATATTGCCATGACTTCATGGTGTAATTGGATTTATTTTTATCACCTCATGTTTGAAAGTAACACCTGGTAGCACTTTTCCTCAGCGCTGAGTGAGAGCAAGGGATGAATAGCACCTCATGATGATGTGACTCGGCTGATAGAATATTGCTACAATATGTTATCATGGAGTTGGTATTACTGAAACTGAACACAGATCAGGAAATAATGCAAAAGAGAAGATCATTAGTTTGTTGCCTCACATTATATCAGCATTTGTTTTTTCTCATCTACAAACAATAATTCATCCATTCATTTATCTTTGCCTCTATGAAATTCCATACAATTATCTAAAGGGCAGGTGCATGGATTTGAATGGAGAACATTTAAAAAGAAAATAAGTAAACAAGTGAGCAGGAAATAATTTGATGTTTAAGACAATAATGAGGGATTTAAAAGGGACATTTTAAAGAGAAATAAGAACTGCAACAAAGTCATTATAGTGAACCCAACAGGGGTTTTTAACCATTATCAGAGGAGTCAATGGCCATGAACTACATGGAACAGCAGGTCAAATGCAATGATACCGTGTGTGTGTGTGTGTGTGTGTGTGTGTGTGTGTGTGTGTGTGTGTGTGTGTGTGTGTGTGTGTGTGTGTGTGTGTGTGTGTGTGTGTGTGTGTGCGTGCGTGCGTGCGTGCGTGCGTGCGTGCGTGCGTGCGTGCGTGCGTGCGTGCGTGCGTGCGTGCGTGCGTGTGTGTGTGTGCATTCATCTATCTTCACAAGATGTTTTCCAGATTAACTAATAGAATAGTAAAAACAGACCATGTCACTGGATCCCAACATATTCTGCAGATCCCTATCAATATTACATGTCAGGTCATGTGGAAATATGGTTAACTAATATGTGATTGTAAAAGTATTTTGTATTTGTCTTCTTCATCGGTGCTCTCAGCCCTCCCTTCCTCGGACTCGTTCCAACTACTACCTCCAAACGCTGCTGCAGAAACTCTCCTCTCTACTCTCTCATCCTCTCTGGACTCTCTCTGTCCTCTCACATCTCGGCAGGCTCGTCAGTCCCCTCCTGCTCCCTGGCTAAATGATGCACTGCGTGCTAATAGAACCGTCCTTCGGGCAGCAGAGCGGAAACGGTGGAAATCCAAACACCATGACGACCTCCTAACCTATCAGGCTCTCCTCTCCTCTTTCTCTGCTTCGATCTCTCAGGCAAAAAGCACTTTCTTTCAAGATAAGATCCAATCTTCCTATTCCAATCCCAAAAAACTATTTTCCATCTTCTCCTCCCTCTTGGACCCCCCCAAAGCCCCTTCCCCCTCCTCCCTTCTGTCAAGCGACTTTGTTAACCACTTTGAAAAAAAGGTTGATGATATTCGCTCTTCTTTTTCTGACTCACCTCTACTCACCGCTGGGTCACCAGACCCTCCTTTCACCCACACACTAACCTCCTTCTCCCCTCTCTCTCCAAGTGAGGTTCTTACCCTCATTACCTCTGCCCGCCCTACCACCTGTCCTCTGGACCCTATCCCTTCAAACCTCCTTCAGACTATCGCTCCTGATATTCTACCGTTTCTCACCCATTTCATCAACACTTCTCTAATTTCTGGTCACTTTCCAAACAGTCTCAAGGAGGCAAGAGTAAACCCTCTCCTAAAGAAACCCACTCTCAACCCGTCTGATGTTATAAACTACAGGCCTGTCTCTCTCCTCCCGATTCTGTCTAAAACACTTGAACGCGCTGTCTTTAAACAACTCTCCTGCTATCTCCATCAGAACAACCTTCTGGATCCGCACCAGTCTGGTTTCAAGGCAGGTCACTCCACAGAAACTGCCCTCCTTGCTGTCACTGAGGAACTGCACACTGCTAAAGCAGCCTCCCTCTCCTCTGTCATCATCCTTTTGGACCTGTCTGCTGCATTCGACACGGTGAATCATCAGATCCTCCTTCGCACTCTCCAAGAACTTGGAGTTTCAGGCTCTGCACTTTCCCTCCTCACCTCATACCTCAAAGACCGCACCTACAGGGTTACTTGGAGAGGGTCCGAGTCCGACCCTTGTCAATTAACTACAGGGGTCCCTCAGGGCTCTGTTCTTGGTCCCCTCCTCTTCTCCTTGTACACAAACTCGCTCGGATCAGTCATTAGCCTGCATGGTTTTTCATACCACTGCTACGCTGACGACACCCAATTAATTCTGTCCTTTCCCCGCTCAGAGACCCAGGTCGTCGCACGCATCTCTGCTTGTCTAGCTGACATCTCTCAGTGGATGTCTGATCATCACCTCAAGCTCAACCTTGACAAGACTGAACTGCTTTTCCTTCCGGGAAAAGATTGTCCCACTCTTGACCTAACAATCAACATCGGCACCTCTATTGTTTCCCCGACTCAGACTGCAAGGAATCTGGGTGTGACCCTAGATAACAACCTGTCCTTCACTGCAAACATCGCTGCTACAACCCGCTGCTGCAGATACACGCTTTACAACATCAGGAGGATGCGTCCCCAGCTGACTCAGAAAGCGACTCAGGTTCTGGTCCAGGCTCTCATCATCTCACACCTAGACTACTGCAACTCCCTCCTGGCTGGTCTACCTGCATGTGCCATCCGACCTCTGCAGCTCATCCAGAATGCAGCTGCTCGCCTGGTCTTCAACCTTCCTAAATTCTCCCACACCACTCTGCTCCTCCGCTCCCTTCACTGGCTTCCGGTAACTGCTAGAATCCACTTCAAGACAATGGTACTTGCGTACCATGCTGCGAATGGATCTGGCCCTTCCTACATCCAGGACATGGTTAAACCGTACACCCCAGCGCGTGCACTCCGCTCTGCATCAACCAAACGGCTCGCTGCACCCTCGCTGCGAAGGGGATCCAAGTTCCCATCAGCAAAAACACGTGGGTTTGCTATCCTGGCTCCTAAATGGTGGAATGAGCTCCCCATTGACATCAGGACAGCAGATAGCTTACACACCTTCCGGCGCAGACTGAAAACTCATCTCTTTCGACTCCACTTCGAGCGATAGAACTATTAACAAAGCACTTATATACTAATAAAGGACTGGCTTATCTAAAGCCAGTTGAGTAGCACTTGAAATGTTTTTGCTCTATGAAGCCTGATGTACTTATATGATTCTGTTTTCTTCAAGTTTGTATTTTGTTGGTCGAACGCACTTATTGTAAGTCGCTTTGGATAAAAGCGTCAGCTAAATGCAATGTAATGTAATGTAATTTATGTGTCCTTTTATTTTACAGAAAGAAATGTTGTAATGGCTTCAAGTTTGTGCTGGGCCAGTGCATTCCTGAAGGTAGGGGAAACTGCTGGATGTCTAACTCGCATTTGTAATCATTTTGTAATTATCTTTCATCATATCCCATCAGTGCCTGTATGTACTTTACTTAACTTTCCCTTGTTTAACCTCACTGAATGTTCAACAAGTTGTTGCCTCTTACATTTGTTTTCTAGCTGATGAAATGCCTCATGTATTTCTGTAGACTATGATGTGTGTGCTGGCGCCCCCTGTGAGCAACAGTGCACCGACCACTTTGGTCGAGTGGTGTGCACCTGTTACCGCGGCTACCGCTATGACCGTGAGCGCCACAGGAATCGAGAGAAACCCTACTGTCTGGGTGAGCACCTCTACAACACCTCATGAATTCATCTTTAAAAACTAGTATATACGTAACATTCTCATATTTTAATTGTTTGAAAGTGTTAGGCCAATCTACATTCTGGCATTATCCAGTGCTTCTCAAAGTGTGGTCCGCGGACCACTGGTGGTCCGTGAGCGCCCCCTAGTGGTCCGTGAGTATATTGGTAAAATTTCACATTTGAAATTAATTAATTAATTAAAGTTTTCCGCACTCTCGCGGGAATATCTCCGCAATGGAATGAGCTTAAGTTTCACTTTCGATTGCATGATATAGCCCAGATAAACACCTTCATCACACATGTTGCCACTTGTTTGTACCATTATCAGGCGATTTGTAAAAAACGATGTGTTTTTGGATATTTGTGGAGTTAGGTGGTCCGCGAGTGTTTTTTTATTGGTTAAGTGGTCCTTGGTATGAAAAAGTTTGAGAAACACTGAGATGTATGTTTTATATCAGTTCAAAGAGACCGGAACTCTTTATTCTTAGCAATCCTTAAGTACAGGAAGTCAAACTATTTTACACCATTTCTATATTTGATTGTTCTAGTGCATCCGCATTTAAAAAACAGAGCTTGACAAAAAGCCGCTTCAAGTTTTCCCAACACTGAATTAAAATAAACTGGAGCATAGTATTGCATGTTTTTGTTTTGCTGTTTTTAAAATAAAGTGCCCCATCGACAACACAATACATTAGTTATTTGAAGTTTATTTTGGCTTTAAATAATGCTTTTAATTATGCTCATATACAAGTAATTCATGTTAGCCATGTCATTTTCTATTTTTTACCCTTTGACATTAAACATCTCTCAGTGGACCACCTTGTACACATACAACCTAGAAGATGGGTATTGTCTGTATCAAATTATTAAATGCAGCAGTCAATCATATATCCTATACTTTGAGTGTAAAGGATAACAATATAGCTTTTCTGTACTTGTATATGTTACTGGATAAGTGTGTGTTAATCCACACAGCCTTTCTTTCATTTCTTTATCGTGTCTCTGCTGTTTCTTTCTGTCTCTACAACATATAGACATCAACGAATGTGCAGATAAAAACATGACTACGTGCTCTCAGATCTGCCTGAATTCTGCGGGGAGCTACAGGTGTGAGTGTGAGACAGACTATTTCCTGGAAGAAGATGGGAAAACATGCACCAAGGGGGAGAGAGGTGAGAATACTATTTTTACTCAGACATTTTCTCTTTACTCAAGGGCTGCGATGTGAAGCTGACCACACATTGTTATTTGGTGGGAGAAAAGGAGATGGGGGGGGTGCTGCAAACACAGACACCTGGTAGTCATTACACATCCCAGCTCCTTTTGCATTTCAGAACATGTCTGTCTCCCAAACACACCGCTGCCCCCCTGACTCCTGGTCTTTTTTGATTTGCTGGATGCATTTGAGGGAAACGTAACAAGCGATGATAAAGTCTTTTTTTGCCCCAGATTCAGCAGTGACGGGCTGCAGATTTGCTACTTCCTCCCATGAGTTTATCTTCCATTACCTACTAAAACATTACAGCAAAAGCTGGAGAATGAGAAACGATGGTTCATGTAGAAATGCTCCTGCTTTATGTCCCGCTGCTCTCTGGGAAAATAGTGTCCAGACATTGCATTCAATATGCATTTGTAGAATAGGGCCCATTCTACCACAGACCAGAGACAGAGAAAGCTCTGTGCTTTTCCTGTTGTGTTTCCTTTTACTCGATGGTGTAAGTTTACTGCTTAAATTGTAATATTTTCATTTAAATTCTGAGTAAAGAGTTGTAGGTATTAAATAAGTCAAAATGTTTAAATATTAGAATGTATTTATGAGAAAATATTGATACACTTCAGTATTGTGATATTATGTTTTATAATACTGTATCCATTCTCCAAAACGATTTATTTTTTATTACGAGTTAACATGCAAATATTTGTGAATTTTTCATTCTGACAGTTGACATGACATCTTTCCTCAAATTTGATTAAAAAAATTAGACAGTATATGTTACATATATATAAACTACTCATTCACAAGTAAGCAGTAACAGCCAATCAAACTGTCACCAAACTATCACTAACACAGGAGTATTTTCTAAAAGATGTCTTTTCTGGTAGCTTTTGTGACAGAAACCTTTTTTCACCCAATTCCCAGCAGTGCATCTGTTTGAGAAGGCTGACAACGCAATGAATGCTGGAACTTGCTCAGCCACATGTGACGATTTCAACCAGATCAGGATGTCTGTCCTGCAGCTTAAACAGAAGGTAAGAATTTAGAACAAGAACTATTTATCTATGCAATTGACCTGTAATACTTTTATCACAACCCTGCATCCTGAAATCCTGCAGCTTTTCTGGTTGACAGCACAAAGCTCTTCTTGATTCAGCTGAATATCTGCAAAATGTTCAGTTTCTTTTATGACCACCTAGGATCTCACTTTATCTCCAAGGTGTTCATACCTGACTGTATATCAGGAACAACAGCAGGCTTATTATGAAAATGTCCTTGAGATTTATCTTAGCACTTTACTTCCTAATAAAAAAATTCTGAAACAACTGTAGCTGGTAGACTCCTTCCATAAGTGGGAATTGGTGGGCAATTTGTGTGAAACTCCACAGTGCGGCTACGTTTCCCTGGGTGTAATCACAGCGTCTGAACCTATCTGAGCACGAGCCCGTCACCAGTGGCACTCAACACCTCACTCTAACACATTATATATTGCTTCCAGCTGTGTGGTCTACGGGCTCATGCAGCTATACAGCACATGATCTTTACTATATTAAGAAAACAAAATTTAAAAACTGTATATTATTACAGTATATGAGAGATTATATACTCAGTTACTCACATCATGGGAAGGTTAGAGTATCAATGTAGGTTCACACTGAGGTTCAAACACCTGTGCCCAAGGTCACAGGCCACATACAGTCTTGCATAATGCTCACTGATCAGCAGGTGAACCATGACGTGTGTGTGTGTGTGTGTGTGTGTGTGTGTGTGTGTGTGTGTGTGTGTGTATGTGTGTGTGTGTGTGTGTGTGTGTGTGTGTGTGTGTGTGTGTGTGTGTGTGTGGCCTAGCATTACTATACTTGTGGGGACCTACATCTGTTTACACAGTCACGTGTGGGGACTCGCCTCCCTTATGGGGACAAATTGGAGGTCCCCATGAGGGGAATCATTAATGTTGGGGGTGGCGAAGTCGATAGGGACTTGACTTGGCAACTGGAAGGTCACCAGTTCAAGTCCCGGCAAGACCAAGTGCTACCGAGGTGTCCCTGAGCAAGGCACCGTTCCCCACACTGCTCCCCGGGCGCCGTTCGAAATGGCAGCACACTACTCCTAACACTAGGATGGGTCAAATGCAGAGAAACAATTTCCCCACGAGGGATTAATAAAAGTCCATCTTATCTTATTTTAGGGTGAAGACTTGGTTAGGATTAGGTTAAGGGTAAGGGTTAGGGTTAGGCATGTGTTGGTTATGGATAAGGTTAGGATAAGTCTCCAGGAAATGCATGTAAGTCAATGTAATGTCCCCCGAAGTGATGTATACATGGTATGTGTGTGTGTGTGTGTGTGTGTGTGTGTGTGTGTGTGTGTGTGTGTGTGTGTGTGTGTGTGTGTGTGTGTGTGTGTGTGTGTGTGTGTGTGTGTGTGTGTGTGTGTGTGTGTGTGTGTGTGTGTGTGTGTGTGTGTGTGTGTGTGTGTGTGTGTGTGTGTGTGTGTGTGTGTGTGTGTGTGTGTGTGTGTGTGTGTGTGTGTGTGTGATGTTACACAGAGATCAAAGATAACTTTTCCCAACGATGCTGTTTAGCATAGAGAGCAGGAACTCTCCTGGTCTTGTGAATAATGCAGAGGGGTTGTCTGGCCCTCCATCTGTCTGTTTTAGAGCAGATGAAAGATCAGCTTCCATCTTATCATTTTAACATAATTTGCCTTGAAGTTGGACCTTAAGTGTGTAATTTTCCTGTCATGTTTGACACTACAGAACTTGAGTTATTGTGTGTAAAAGCATTTTTAGGAATGAACAAAATATTTCATCCCATGACAGAATGTGTAATTTCTTTTGTCTAAGCTCTATTTATTATTTCACTCATTCAGTTATTTGTAATTATCCTGTTTATTCAATCATTTGTTTTCCTGCATCCTTATTCAAGATGGCTGTGCTGTCAAACAGTGCTGACATCCCTGAGCAGATGACCGGCGAGAAAATTGGGACATCGCCCATATTTCTACCAGGGCCGCCAGGTTTCCCTGGACCTCCAGGTAAACACATGGAGCTAAAGATAATACAACTGTGTCAGACTGCATAAAGAAACCAGCAAGTCTCAAAGAGTGTCTCTGGTAATGCTAAAGGCTCTGTGGGAATGTGCTTTAAGCTACATGCTCACCTCAACATGCCTACAGGGCCAATGATGAGGTTTAACACTTGGTCAGTTTAAGGCATCTCTAAAGCAAGAAGCATTTATCCATTTTGCAAAAATCATCATAAATGCTGTGTCTTTTGTGATCAGTTGTTTTTCCTTATCTGTATTGTTAAAGGTGAGCCAGGACCAGAGGGCCCTCCCGGACTTACAGGACTGTTGGGGCCTCCTGGGCCTCATGGTCCCAGGGGCTTGATGGGACCCATTGGACCCACACCAGACCTGTCACACATCAAACGGGGCCCCAGAGGACCTGTGGTCAGTTAATAAATACACACTTTGTAGTTGCTATGAATGATTGTGTTTGATCATCTCTGCAACCCAGGGGTTCATCCCAGATACAAAAGATTCCATTCCTCAGCTTTTTAGATTGTATATCATTTGTAACATTTCTCAGATGTAACAGTATAGGCTTCAGAAGTACCAGGTATGAATGTGTGTGTGAGACAGGAACCTCACACACAAACAGAGCTATGCTTGATCACCTTTGCTATAATGTTTCATGTTGTTATTACTAAATGAATTTGAATGAGAGCAAGCTTCTTCTTTACTTTCATCTAAGTTTCAGACTTATTATTTGTTCAACCAAAGATCATCCAGGTAATTTAGTAAACCCGCATTATGACAGGAGACAGCCCCAGGAGAGCTGTGATTGATTTGTCTTTATAAAAGGAGCACGAATTGAGAGGAACCAAATATATTTTGTTTTTCAACTGACACATTTCAAAGAGACGAGAAAAGACCCTTCCCTTCAGCCAGCCTCTTAAAGCAAAGCACACGTCTGCACTGTGAAAGAGGATGACACACTGTAATGGCAAACATAACAAAGAAGGCAGAATCCATTTACAGCTTTAGTTGTTTTCTTTGGCTTGCTGCCTTATTGTGCAGCGCTCTGTCTTTGCCTGCGTGTTAAAGTGTGGGATCTGAGTCAAGAATGTGCGGGATGTGAACATAAAGACATATTTGAGTATTTATGTAATCTGCTTATTGATAAATCAGGCTGTCAACATAATTAGTTTCTGTACATCACCATCTGCACGCTGCCAAACCAAGAGGTGAGGAACGCTGTTTTATAGTGGTATGTGATCTATTGCTTTCTGTGTCCGTGTGACATTTCGATGTGAGTCTTAATACACAACTCTTTATGCTCATGACCCGTTAATATATTGAATCAGTGCACATGTTCGTGACTCAAAGGGAGTTGTCCTTCTCTCCACACAGAAACCTGATTAGATTCTGAACACAGTTGTGAGGTTTAGCCACCGGGTCACATGTGTTCCTCTGCATGTCAGGGCTTCAGAGATGATGAATGGGGTTTAGTGTGTGACTCACAGGCGTGGTACTGATCTGAATATTGGCCCTGCTCCCTATACAATGTCTTCACCCTGCTTTAATGATGATTATTCTAGGAAAGAGATCAAAGCACTGAGAAGATCTCAAGAAAGCCTTGAGGCAGGCACAAAGTTCATCTGGGATGATCGTTGATGGTCGAGATGTCAGTTTTGAATTGAAAGAGATTTGGAATAAATGAGTTTTGGTGAAAATATTGAACTGAACATCAACACATTTCTGGGTGTAAGGTCAGGCTGCCATCAGATAGATAGTCTCATGAGCATGTATATGAATGCGCTTCTCAGTATCCTGTTGTATGTTTTAGAAATGTGAAAATAAACTATAATACAGAAATGCAGATTGTTTGTTTCCTTTATCTAACAGGGGCTTCCAGGAGCGCCAGGAAAGGATGGCCTAAAGGTGAGGTCAGATTCTACTTAGTCACCTTATCTTTTCCCATCTGTATAACACAACCTTACTATAGGCAACTTTCTAGAAAAGAGCCTCTTTTTCAGTTGCGTATTACCAAACCGTGGTCCAGCATGTCGCCCCTCAGGCACAAAACTCATTCATCTTGGCAACATAAATTGACTCTTGGCTGACAGAACAAGGCCTCTCTTAAAGGGAAGTACCAACTAGATACATTTGAATCATCTGCCAACAATGTCTGTCAAAATCTATTTCTCAATAGCCAATATCTTCACATTTCTACAGGGGGAAAACCAGAAAGCAGGTGCCAGGATCCTCACAAATCCTCAGTTTATCCCTGCAGATGTTAGGATCACTGCAAGTTACTGCAAAAGAGGGAGATTGGTGTGCCCAAACGCAGTAGGCACACTTGGGTTGCTTCTCACTGTGAGTCGACATGTATCGGTTCAAATAATTGTACCTGGTACAACACTTTTTTTGTTAATCAGATTTAAGATTACAGATTATATCAGAAGAGCACTGTTTGTTTAGAGTGTTTTATCTCCCATTCTCCGGTTCAGAATCAACCCAATTCACAAGAAGCTTGCTGCTGACCACCAGTGTGGAGATTGTTCATTCCTCTGGGATGTGGTGGTTGTCTGGATAATCACATGGATTATAGGAACAGGGCGTTTGGATCAGTTGATGATAGTTAGCAACAATATTTCAAAAGGATAACTGGAATGTTTTCTCTGCTTTGCCTCCGCGGGAAGCCTCGGGCAAAGTGTTAAAAAGGAGGTCCCAGCAGATGGTTAAGCCTCAGATTAAGGAGGCACAATGTAGAATCCAGCGTGGTTACTGTTGTGGAATATTTTCCAAGGCCCATAACTTTGACCCAGTGTATCAGTTCAAACTGTCCTGACTGAGCACAGGCACCTGTAACCTTGGCTGCTGTGCTCTCAGTGTTTTGTCTCCCTGTTCCTGCCTGTTGGCGTCAGCTGATAGAGGTGTTATCATTCTATCTTGTTATGCAGCATGTTGATGATGCTCTCTGAACTAGCTAAATACATGGGTCTGGGGTAGAGTTCTTCAGAATTGACGTGGCAACTCTACCGTGAAGTCAGAACCTCTGACTCTTGGACTTGTGATGTGAATCCTCCGGCCGTTAACTCCAAATAAACCATCATGTGTTTGACATCAAAGCTACTGCTCCTACCGTGTCTCCTTCCTGAGTCGGTGACTCCCAGTGCATAGCTACACAGAAGTTTCCTCTACAGTTACAGTGAGATTTGTGTTTACATTTTTCACATGTTTTTGGATTAATCCAGATTAGCTCGCACACTCATTTCTTATTTAGCTATTTTCCTAGAACAGAGCAGCTGAGGTCAGACAGATACGATGGCATATTTGCTGTTCTCAAGACATCTGCAGTGTGCTTTGGAGCTGAGTTTGACTCTCCTCATTTAGAAATGGAGTACTAATGAAGACGTTCAAGTTATATTTATCAACTAAAAACATCCTAAGAGACTGTGGCAACAAAAGTAGAAAGGTGAGCTTCTTTTTGAAAAAATAAATCTACTTCCTTTGAATGGCTTTTAATGGGAAGTTGCAGTTCTGCTCAGTTTTAGTTGATTCTGACGAGTGACATCCTGCTGGATCACAGCCAGTGAAAGTAGTATGCAGCCAATAAACGGTAGAGGTGAAGACATGATCATACCAAGGTAATGCTATTTTCAAAAGCTAAAAATACACCAGAGCCTGTTTTAGATATTGTTACTATTCAAGGACAAGTACTTGAAGTGGTTACCTGTTATAAATACCTAGGTATCTGGCTTGATGATTGTCTTACTTTTAAACTTCATGTCAATAACCTGCTTAAAAAGCTGAGGGTTAGACTAGGTTTCTTTTTCAGAAACAAGTCCTGTTTCTCTTTTGAAGCCAGGAAAAGGCTAGTCACTGTGACCTTTTTACCTGTGCTGGACTATGGTGATCTGTTGTATATGAATGCACCTGCCCTGCACAAGTTAGATGCCGCCTATCACAGCGCACTGAGATTTGTCACTAATTGTAAAACACTTACTCATCACTGTACCCTGTATGCCAAGGCAGGTCTGCCATCACTTACTGTAAAGAGGCTCAGTCATTGGTACACGTTTATTTATAAAGCTTTGTCGGGTAAACTCCCGTATTATATCTGCTCTCTGATCACACAGAGAGTTGCAAGCAGCTATTGTCTGAGATCGCATGATGTAGTATTGTTAGATGTGCCAAGAGCAAGGACTGTCTTAGGTAAGACAGCTTTTATGTGCGCAGCTCCACTTGCTTGGAACAATCTTCAGCAAGAATTGAAACTGAGCAATCTCATTCCTCTGCATGTTTTTAAAGCTAGGCTAAATGAAATGCTTGTTGATACTATGGGCACTTGTAAATGTTTATAACTATGTAAATGTATCCTGTAAATATAATGTATGATGTCCTTTATTGTTTTATGTTTCATGTGGAACCTATATGCTGCAGGTCTCCCTTGAAAAAGAGATCTATGATCTCAAGGGACCAATCTGATTAAATAAAGGTTTGAAATGAAATGAAATACCGTTGATCAACAAAATGATAAGAATGTAAATCATATAATACCTATTTTTTGGGAATGTAATTTGAAAACTGTGGCTGATTTAATACAGCATTACAGGATTATTATAATGTGGTCAATAATAAATCTAGAATGCCCGGTAATCCCTGTCACACTGATTTAGAGAAGTGAAAGGTGAAAGAGCTGATGAGAGTCTGGACTTGTGTTGGCTCTGGCATCGTGTTATACCCTCAACGCTGTTTGCTTAGCTTGTGGATCACGTATGGAACAACTTAGGTGCATCCGGTTTATTGACATAGTACCTTGGTATTCTTTCAGTACAGCGTGGATGTTTATGTGGATAGATTGGAGGTTGATGGTAATCTGTCTCTGAGACACAAATCCAAACCATCTGCCAAAACACTCACAGCCTCAGTGTGACCCTGAGCCCTCTAACAACCAGCGGTCAGGTCAATGTGTGTGAGAGTGTGTGTGTGTGTGTGCTACCGTAGGTCAACAGGCTGCCATGATACTTCACATTTTCATGTACAGCATGTTTAGTGTTAAATGAAATCACTTCATCATGTTCACGTTGAAATTTCACACATTTTAGAATGATTTCCACGTTTTGGGAAATACACTTATTAGCTTTCTCTGCAAGGGAGTCAACACCATGGTAACCTCTGTATGAAACTAGAGAATATGAAATCATAATATATTTTTTATGATAATGCTAAGCTAAAATATATTAGAGCTTAGCAAACCGTTAACACTGGATTCAATGGGAAACGAGAGAGGCTCTTTCCAAATAAAATACACCTACCAGCCCCTCTAAAGCTCACTAATTAACATGTTGTATCACATTTGTGTAATCCGAACACAAAACTATATGCATTCAGTTAAACTGTTAACAAGCACAACATGTTAATTAGTGAGCTTTGTTGGTGATGATTTGTTGTGTTTTTAAACGTCAGAGCTGGGATTTCTCTGCCTTCCCCTGGACTCATAACCTGACGCCAGATGGTTTACTACACAGAACCATCTGAGAGGCAGATTGGAAACTTTCTAGAAAAAAGGGCTGGAACTTTTGAAAAATACATCCAAATCCAAATAGCTGTTTGGATTAAACATCTGTCAATCAAACTCTTACCAAAGCAGGTCACGACAGAGTGAGACAAAGTGTATGCCCCTTCACACACACTGTTGCTGATATGCAAAGTTTAAAAGATAAAAGTAATTGTTGTACTTGTTGCTCAGACTATTCATTTTAATTGTTTTAAAATGCCACATTCGAAACATAACAGCACTGTATCCCCACATGACAGCCCAGTGTCCCCATGTTCAAAGATAAACGGCTCTGATTGGCCTGTCCGAATACAGGACCCCTAAGGGCCAAAGGTTTGTTAGCGGCACTTCTCGCTGACTCTCTTGCTACCTTTCCCCTAGTTATTTTGAAAATGTTCCCTGACAAGCATTATATGAATTATTTATGTTTTCCCCCCCTGGCTGTATTTCGTGTAAGCTAAATAATTGTTTTGTTTCCCCAGGGAGATAGAGGAGCTTCTGGGCCTGTCGGACCACCAGTAAGACTCTTCCTATCTATATTGATGCTTCACCATTGTAACTGGTTACCATTATCCAGAACAATACAGTTTAACAAAAGCATGACTGAAAAACAGACCACTGTGGACTCTGGACATTAAGCACCACAGCTAATGACACTGTCAAACTCAAAGTAAATAGTATCCAGTACAGTGTAAGCATTATCCCCTTAGATAAACACTGATGGTGCTAACGTTAACAAATCATGATGAACAGCTCAGTAGCCAGTGGCCACTTGCAGACAGTCCATTGGTCAGCTGGAGTTTTGTTGGGAACATCTCCGTGGTTTCTCAGTAAATACAGACGCAGAAGAAATCTTTCGATTCAATATGAGAGTAACTTTTATATTTACACAAATACTAAATAAATATAAGATAAATATTTGTAAAATTATACGTTTTTGTGTGTCCGGTGCAATCTGTGCATGATTCAATGATAACGTTTTGCTGTCCTCAATCCCCAGGGTCCTCCGGGCTCCTTTGATTTCCTGCTGCTGCTGATGGCAGACATCCGTAACGATATCACTGACCTGCAGAACAAAGTGTACGGGCGCCCGTTGCCCTCTCCGGGGGAGGACTTTCCTGCAGTCCCCGACAGCTGGAGGGACACCCAGGACAATTTGGAGACCGGCTCAGGTGAGGACTACAAGGAACCTGCACCACGAACAGGCGGAGGATCAAAGAGAGACAGGAAGTGGAAACCAGCGCGAGAGAGAACAGACTTTAACTGGAATATTTAAAAGGGTTTGGGTTTATATATGATACTGTCAGGTGTAAATATTTAAGTGTGTATGCTTTTTTATTTAAACAGAGTGTACTGTATGCCTTTTTATCACAGAGGTTTATTTTTATATGATATACAAGAGTTTGTGTGACTATTTTTTAACAAAATTAGTTGAATGTGCAAATGCATGAATGTGCAAATGCATGAAACACATGTTTCCTTCACGGCACATTAAACAAGTCTCCTTTAATCAGATTTGACGTCTTTACTTTATGTAAATGTTTCTCTTTCCCACAATTTGTATAAGAAATAGAGCCACCAAATGTCTAAATAATAACACATCTAATGAAAGATTCCTTTGCCACATGGTCACCAAAGTAAATATTGAACTCATTTTTCCCAAAATACACGTTTCCTTTTTTCATAATACATACAAAGATGTTGGATCGATGTTTGGTTCTCAGTTGTTGGATAGTTCTCCACCAGAGGGAGACATACTCAAAGCCACTTACAAAGGTCTGGGTTTCCAGTTTCTTTGCTCAGCATTTCTGAGAAACGAATGGCTGACCAATCACACAACACATCACAATATAATGAATGAGCCTGATATAAAAAGGCCACTCAAGTTCAAACTGTCAGCTAATGACTCTGAGAATGTGAGTGCATCATATGGTCAGTCAGTAAATGAGCTTATCTGAGAAAACCTTTATATAATCACTGTGAAGCAGTGGCGAACCGTGGCTATCACAACTGGACCTTCTGTAGACACACCCACCCCCCCCCGTGAACCGCCGCCCCCCCCCCCCCCCCCGCGCCATTATAATGTCCGTCTTTTCACTGAATTGTCGTCTTGAAAAGGGTACTCACAACAATTCCGCAACAACTTCATCTTCACCTGTTGCACTTGTCATTTCAACATTCAAAACAATAAAACGGCATGAATTGCTTCGTCGCATTCGTTCTAGATCCTCTGTCTCAAGCCAGTTAACTAGCGGGCCTTCTAGAATACCCTGGAACCGAGGGAAACTCTGAAAGAATACACCCATTGGCTACAAATCAATATATGATTGGTTGATCAAACTGTCTGTCCAAACATACGCTCTCATTCAGTGTAACGGCCAGGGCATTCGATCAAGGATGTAGAATACCTTGTTGAAGGATATTCTACCCAGAGACCCAGAACAAGATCTGATTGGTTGCTTTCTTTTCTAACACAAAACCACTGAAATGCGTAGCATGGTCCAAGAAGGACAAACAAATCAAGGTAACACTGTAATATTACAGATCAACAACACTGATATAATTCTCATTTATTCATTTTATATACATTTTATATACATTTTATTTATACAATTAAATCGATTGTTTTGTTTGTTTTTATCTGAGTGTTCCAGGGTATTCTCTGAATACCTTGAAGGCCCTGACGGTTCGCCACTGCTGTGAGGAAGGTATGAAATCATGTTTATCCGTCAACATTCAGCTTATCCTGCAGCGACATGACATGCTTTACTTCTTTATAGTTTTAATTATAAAGCTGTGTTATGGCTTTATGTGTTCCCGGTGCTGTTCTCTCCCAGCTCCGGTAGCTCTGGTTTCAGGTGTGCTGTATTGCTCAGCAAGGTGCACCTGAGCTGGGAAGGCGTCTGCCGTATGTATGTCTTTATATTAATACATCCTATGAATTTAATAGTTTTAAAGGCGTCTTCTGTGTTTGATTTGGGTGCCCCGTAGTATGGGGTTTAGCAAGCTAAAGCTTAAAATGCACTCCTGTGCACACAAAAGTATAGCACTTTTTTACCTACTCAAGGGACTGAGTTATGATGAGTTTTACTTCACTTTTGATACTGTTAATACTTCTATACCACTCTTCACAGTGCAGTGCCCCAACTGTCATTCAGTACCACTCTAAATCCACTAGGTGGCAGTCATTTCTCAGTCAGTATGAGCACTGTGTGATTCATTCCCTCTGATTGATGCACAGCACTCAGTGTTCAGTGAACTCATTAAACTGCAGTGTAGTTCACAGAGGAGCACGTGACGATAATCAAAACACAATTATGAATAACGCTTTGTGGAGATGTTCACCCAGCGTGGATAATCTGTGTTTTCTTGTTTATTTTCAGACTCATTGACTGAAATTAGATGTTCTTACTCAACAATATTTGATGTCTTTCCACTAAAAGATTGTTTGACAACAAGGCAGGCTGCCACCAGCGATGAGACTAACTCAAAAAGCCCAAATGAATACGTTGCCTGTCTCTATGAGTAATTGTTGTAAAAACAAAATGTGAACCTGTTGCATTTTGTTCCTGGAAGAAAGCATTACATTAGAACATGAGATTCAAGCAACTTATTTGCATATTTTTTTCAACTAAATACTGTATCTTCATATAAATCAATATGATCACATATCCACTAATCATTTCATTCATAACACAAACAAAAACCATTTGTTAATTTATTCTAGCGCCACCTTCATTTAAAACGATCATTGTTAACATATTAACAGTGTATTGGTTTCACAATGAGCCCATTTCCAGAGAACAGTACATGTCATGATTAAAGAGGGGCCGAAATTAAAGTCCTGTGCACATCCTTTTAACAAGCTTCAGTCGTCTCGCCCGAGCAAAGACAGACAAAAAAACTTGGCATTATTTTTTATCCAAAATCCCTTGTGGAAGTAATTAATCACCATCATACAAGGGAGAGCCTTAAAAGATTTCCAATATTTGCTGAAGTGCCCCCTTGTTCCTAATTATATCTCCCTGCTTGTCCCCCTCATTATTTAGAACTACCCACAAAAAGATGCAACACTGAATGGGGACACCCCCAGCCCCCTTTCCAAAAGAAAATGTTTAATAGCAAATTAATGAGTGAGTTACTGTGCTGCGATAAAAGCCTTAATGAGGTAATTTTATTAGTAGCGGCTGCCCAGAACTGATGGAGACCGATGGAGGAAACAAACAGATTGAGGCAGCAAAGGGAAAATTAGTGTTGCCCAATTCATTCATTAATGCATTAGTGTGGGCAGCAAATTAACTGCCCCAAAAATCCCCCATTCAGTGAAGATTATGATGAACAAAATACATTGTTGCCCTCCGACGTAATTACAAGACACTGCAAATTCAATTCTAATGAGGCGAAAGGCACCCCCTTAACATACATCCCCTATTTCCCCTCTAAAAGGGCTTAGCCTTGTTGAGGCCTAAGTTTAAGGAAGTATTGAGAGTGAAGGAGACAATAATGAGAGATCGGCCTGGCCTTAAGTGCTTTATATGCTGCAAGCAGGTAGAGAGGATTGAATGGCTCTCTTTCTGGGACTCCTGGGGGGCCTGTCTTCCCAGCACAACAACACTTGGCCCTGAGAAAAGGGCCCGCTGAGGAGCCTGGAGAGTGAATGGACCTGTGCTGCAGCGGGTCAAAGTGAATGGCCACAAGTTCTTCAATGATTACAAACTATGTTGTGCCGGCCCAGCTACACACATGTACACACAGAAGCACACGGAGACGGCCCTCACCCTTCCACCTCTCCCTCTCATTGAGTTATCTTTACTCAGGCTTTGTCTCCACTAATTGGAGCTGATGAGGGACTAATTGGTAGCTTTTTTACAACACCCAGTACTTAAGCAATGGCAAGCCGAGGGAGGCAGCATGAGCAGAGTTAATGAGAGGCTTTGCCCAAATGAAAGCTTTAAAATGGGCCTGTTTCACAGAATGGGAGAAAAGGAAAGTTGAGAATATCTTTTGTGTGCTCTACATCTTTCACTTATGTGCAGGTATCTGAAAAGAAGAGGGAGTGGTGGAGGGCACACAGTGGTTGCCGAAACGTTGAGCACTTGTCCGCATAAAGGGATCTGTTCGGTATTGTTTGGGGCCCATCGTTTAGTGTGTCTGTTAATAATGAGAGAGGGCCGCTCTTCAAATGAATGTGGCAAAGTCCTCAGTGGAAAATAAGTGCCCTCTCTTGGCTGGACCACACTGGACCGTGTTGAAGCAATCTGAAATAAAGCTTTAGTCCTTCGCCATTGTTGAGGGTGAGTGTGTGGCCTATGTGCACAGAAAAATAATATAGCAGTGAAGCCAGTCAACACTGTTCTGATGTGGGGTCTTCATTAAATATTAGTTTGGAATAATCATCATCACAATAGGGTTTTAGCTTAAATAAATTGCGCTTGTCTCCTCTTTGATTCACTTCAATTGTATGTGTTTTGCATCAATCCAGAAGGAAATCAAGCGCGACATATGGTCAAATAAACCTAAAAATCACACCCTCCTCATCCTCCTCTGCAGGCCAGCTAGATATTTGCATCATGGTGGTAAACTTAAGAGCACAGTGGGTTCGACCACAGGATATTTCCTTAGGATGCAGACATTTTGTTCATGTGATAATTGGTTGCTTTGTGCTTTTCAGGTATGAATAAACACCATGAACAACAATGAGCAACAGGCTTCATTAAACTAAGCCCTGCTGTCACACCAGGAGGTGACAGGCCACTCTCCCTTTCCCCCTAATGCGACATGGGTAATACAAACATCTTTAGATCCCCCAGGAACAAGAAACCCCATGTACAACACAACTCTTCTTTGTTCTGTCCCATAAGCCCAGTTTAGGATCTGTAAATGTTGACTCATTCAAATGAAGGCTTAGATACACACAGCGAGCAGAGGTGACTTAGACAATCTTAAGTCACATGCGTTATTATGGTCAAATATATACAGTAACAGCAGTTAAATATAGATCAACTTCAAATAAAGTGTTATTTTCAGGCTCCAGCAATATTTACTACAGCATCCCATAATTCCTGGCCACATATTTGCACTGACTCATGTGATAGGCTATTCACAGTCTCAGTGACCCATTAACATCCTACATGTTCCCATTGTCCACCCCTAAATGGATACATTAGCATTGCTTTTGTTATTTAAATCCTACATTTCCTTACAAAGAGTTTGGGTTAACTCTCTAATGAGGACTTCCTCGGACAAAGGACAGAGGCGTCTATTTTCTCTACTCTCTAAATCCACTCGTAGCCTGTTAGTTTTCAAGAGTTTTAAATGTTACATAGAGTTAGCATGTCCTTTATAAGGGAATTCACTCTACTTCAAATACTTTACTTTTATTCCTATTCTATCTTTATTTACATTACTCGTAAATGCACTTAGAGAACATTAAGAACAAATATTTTCCTCAAATATTTATTTTCAAAGTTGCAATATATATATCTAATATATGCTGAACGGTCACTGTCTGCCCAACATGAAACCGGAAGAGAAAGCAGACATTCCTGTCATAAAACAGATTTGATTAGATTCATTATGATATTAACCTCTTCTGCACACGGAGGGACACATTTGTTGTGACAGATATTTTTTTGTCGCTGCACAATCAAAACCAAGTTTTACTGGTTCGTAGAAAAATAATTAAAGTTTCAATTTTTGTGTATTTTTTGGACAGTTCTCATTGATCTTTATTCAATGTGGATTCACTAGATTGACTAACCCCTTATAAAGTATAACATAACCGTGTAAATGATGTAAGTGGTGATAGGATTGGAACTGCTAACTAAATTGTGCTGTTTGGAACAGTGAAATGATTATCACATTTTTTTGGAAGTGAAAATGCACTCAAACAGTAATGGAATCCCTAAAGTAAGACATTGTTTCCTAAATTACTGCAGCATGAAACCTGAAGACTGTAAACCTGTGCACAGTCCTTCCCACTTGCTGATCACTTGCCATTATATCCAAAATCCCTAGATTAGTGTCACTACAATGGCCTGTTTGTTCTGTGGTTTGTTCCTGAACCCGTAATCACAGGCCCTCACAGAGAAGCTGCACCTCCAGAAGCAATAGGAAGAAGCTGGCTGAAAGTAAATAGAAAGCGAGTGACACATAATTGTGTAATCTCCCGTCTCCTGCTGAGGCTTTCAGACTGCAGTGAAAGCTCCAGCAGCCAGCACAGCTACGTCACTTAACCTCTCTCTGACCTCACACAGGCTGACGAGCCGCTCCGTGTTACAGTGGGAGCGTCTGATTGCTAATTCAGCTAATTTGTAGATCATGTGTGCCCGGTGCAATCTGTGCATGATTCAGCAATGATAAAGATATGTTTCATATGCCTTACTTGTTAAAATTCCTCTCATTCCCTTCTAACTTTGTTTGTTTGTCTCATTGAAGTAACGTAAGAAATAAAGCCAGTAAATTACCAAAGAAGTGTCAAATAGTGTAAAGGAATTAAAGCCAATATACCCTATTAACATTGAAATTTTAGTTAAAAAGTGTGATAATGGTATATGGACAATATTTACATCTTTAAGATGAATGCATAACATCGAAACGTGTCTAATACATTTCCAATAAATATGTTTTAAGTAATGAGCATTAGATTAGTATAAACATTAGGTATCAGCAGTTTAGTTTGTGGGAGGGAACACACATATTGTTAACTTGTTTGCATTGTTTAACTGTTCTCCACCCTAAGTATCAGTTCCTCCCCTCCAGGCACAAGCTTTCCTTTACAAACCCTTATCAACACCACCCAGGCAGACATATGTGTCCTTCTTGTGATGTTTCACTGGTATTTGTTGTTTAATGTGTGCTTTATTCTGATGTATATGGGTTATTGACCATGTACAGAAATGTTAAATGCAAATTGGAAATTGTGCAGTATAATCAATCATTAAAAGACAAAACAACATTATTTGCAAGCCTACTTTGTATGCATATTCCCTTGATATACAGTATGTTACATCTGTTCATGTCAATAATATTTATCTTCCTGACAACGTTACCTGTCTACAGGTTTAGGAGGGTATTCTGTTACGATTACTTAATACCTGTATACAAATGTAATCAGTAGCATACTCAAAGTGTTTACAATATAAAAGTAATTGAACCTGATCCCTTTCTGTTTACTTTTGGATAAAAAATGCGACCTCATCAGCATATGATATTCTTTTCATTTAAAACAACGTATTTGTGACAGTACCCACAGTATTATATATATAAATCAGGTGTGCATCTACTAAACTGTCAAAAAAAAGGAGAAACACAGCAAATGCATGCAATATACAGGCCTAATTAATGCAGATTAAAGGTGGGGTATGTAATTTATTTCAGAAACACTTTTTGTTATATTCCATGGAATGCTCTTAACATTCAGATAGCAATGAATATATTAAATGCTTTGACAATAAATACATTAAAAAAATTCATCTGTGGAAGCCGTAGCGCTATAAAAAGCACGACCAATCATTTTAGCCGGCCCGGATAAATTAACTGGATGGCCTACCTGCAGGGGCGGATCTACCGGGATGGCATGGGGTGGCAACTGCCACCCTAAAAATAGCCTTGCCACCCCAGCTGCCACCCCGGTTGGAATCTTTGTTTTGAAAGAAAAGTTGTGGCTCATCGGACATTTATCAGAGAAAATCTCTAATGTCCGAGTGCAAGTGAATTCAGCACAAGACGCGAGTCTTGTAACCCCTCCCCCTGGCGCTAGCTTGGAAATATGATTGGCGGCGATTTCATTTGAATGGGGGGACAGCGCAAAACGAGAAGCATTCGGACCCAAGCAGAGGGAAGGAATTAAGTATTTGCGGTCTACAATGACAGAGAAGAGACTGTCAAGTTTGGCTGTACTCAGCATTGAATGGAAACGCACTAAAGCTGTTGATCTTAATAAGTTTGTGAGGCGTTTTGCTGAACAAATGGTAATCGCGGCATTCAGCTGTAATAGGCATGCAGAGGCGCGGGAAGGTATTTTGAGTGGGGGTGGGCTCCGCTGTATAGAAAACTGTAGTTTCCCCACAGCAGCAGACGCACATTTATGACGTCTGCTGGCGCAAGCGCATCATAAACACGTTGGATATTGAAAGTGCAGTCAGATTCTCAAAGCACTGCAGTCTCTTCTCCTAAGTCCTTTTGAAATCTCCTATCCACTATCCCTTAACCCCGTGACGTTTCACACAGCGGTCAAGGAATAGACGATAAGGATAGACGATAGGAGATCAAGCCTTTCCTTTCTTTTAATAAGTAATACATTGTTTTATATCCACTAAACTGGATTACTGCAACGCTCTGTACATTGGAGTAAGCCCTGTCTCGCCTACAGCTGGTCCAGAATGCTGCTGCACGCCTCCTTACAAGGACAGGCAGGCGTGAACATATTACGCCTGTACTCGCCTCTTTAAATTGGCTACCAGTCAATATTAGAATATAATTAAAAATGGTATTGTTTGCATACAAAGCCCTAAACGGTTTAGCCCCACCGTACCTGGCAGATCTTTTAAAACCATACACACCCACACGGTCACTGAGGTCTTCTGACAGACTCCTTCTGGTCGTCCCTAAATCGAGGTTAAAGCAGCGAGGAGACAGAGCCTTTGCTGTTGCAGCTCCAAAATTATGGAACGAATTGCCCCTCCAGGTTAGACTTGCTCCAACTCGGCCTGTTTTTAAATCTCGTTTAAAAACCCACTTCTTTTCCATTGCATTTACAGACCAGGTGACACTTGTGCTTTTACATTTGGGTTTTTATCTTACTAGTGTTTTGTATTGTTTTTACGTCATATAGGAGAGTTTTTCAGTCTGTGGCTTCTGATCTGGTTTCAGTGTCTCGTGTTTTACATTTGTTTCATGTCCTGTCTATTTTGTATGTATGTATGCTATGTTTTTATATAGTTGTTGATGTTCAGCACTTTGTTCAACTCTGTTGTTTTTAAATGTGCTATAGAAATAAAGTGGATTGGATTGGATAATGACCAATGACAATTATTGGGAAATAGAAAATAAAACTGATGATATAACAAAAATACTTTATTAATCTGTTTGACGACCAATTGACAAACATGACGATGTTAAAAAGTGGTAAAATGTTGAAAATAAACTAATAAAAGTCATAAACAACATTTAAGTGAAAATACAGTGAATAAAAAATTATGATTAAAAAAATGATTAAATCTTAATAATAGAAATAGGTAGAATAAAGGAAGTAAAGTAAAAATAACGATAAAATGTTATCACATTTAAAACAATGATATTGCACCTTTTAGAGCTCCTCTAATACACTTCAAAGGGTTTGACAAGCAATTGATAAAAATGTGAAAATAAAATAGATTAAAAAACAATAAAAAAAGTCATTCAAAAATACAATGAAATGGAAAATAAAGATGATAGAGTTATAAAGTACATAATAACCAGACCGTAATGATGTATTTTATTTAAAATCAGATTTCGTTCAGACCCTCACAGATCCTCTGTCAGAAAGCAGCACGGCCAAAACACGTCTCTTTGGATCACTTGCTGTCTCCTCTGGGTTCTGGTTCTGGTTCGGGGGTGTAGAACTGGAACGTGACGCAAACAGGGACCCCGGTCAGAGCGGTGCTTAGAGGGATCTTTAGGGTGGGGGCTGCTGTGGAGAAAGGGTGAGGAAACTATGAAATTGGGGAGGGGGAGGCAGAGGCGTTCACATGTGGAAGGACGTTCAGGAGGTCAGCAGCGCTCGGAGAAACATCCACAAATAGAGCTATGTTAGCTGGGTCTTCACTTCAGGGTGGAGAGGGAGGGGGTCTGTGGAGGTCTGAGGGTCCTCTGAGAGGAGGGAAGGAGATGAGGAGGGGAGGAGGTGAGGAAGGGAGTGAGGAAGGAGGTTCAGTCTCCTGGATCACGTTAGGTAGGGGTGTCTCTGTGATGGGGTCCTGTGGGGGGGGGTATCCTGCAGGGACACAGCGGGAGACGTCTCCTCGGAGGAACTCACCTCGATGGACTCTAAGGAATCTGAGGTTTCTTCTTCTCCATTGAGACACATCTGTTGGAGGGTAAAAAGAAAATATTTAAAAGAAGGTTTCAACCACAAATTATCATTTTGGTGTCAGTTAAAGAGGACGTATATCGTTTTCAGGTTCATATTTAGTGTGAATGCACAGAATAAGGAGTTTGTTCTATATAAAAGCCCCCCCCCCCACACACACACACACACACACACACACACACACAATACTACTACTACTACTCCAACTACTACTAGTACTTACAGTAAAAAACAACTTACTGTACATTCAACTATTAAATCAATCAATCAGCTATTTCAGGACATTGAGGCTATACATTTACAGTGGAAGAAACAAGTATTTAACCCCCTTCAGATTTTGTAAGTTTACCAACTTATTTTACAACTGAAAGCTCTTTTCAAATCAAGAGGATGTTGTAACCGAGGCTCTGTGTAGGTCAGAGTCTGAGCGCTGCTCCTCCTCCTGCTTCCAAGCCAATATTTCAAGGATGCTACGTCATCGAGTGCCGCCGAAGTACTGTTCCAATCTCCAGCATACTTGGAATTCCACCGAGGCCGCGTCCTTGGTTTGGGGGAAATTTCGAGGCTGCACATCGCTGCACATGGGTAGACACTGGCCGTTTCTCAATCGCGAGGATGCTGGCTTGGTAGTCGCGTACTTCCAAGTCACTTCCTTCAGAAACGAAGCAAGTATACTTCCAAGCCACGGCTTCGGAAAACGAAGAAGAATGGAACAGGCTAACAAGTGTGCCACTCTCTCTAACGGTTTCAACATAAACTGTACCGAAAATAAATACCTCACGATGTCTGTTCATAATTAGATTAATTATGAACTTGCTTTACTTTCACGGAACACATTTATGGTGATAACAAACAAATGTAACAAAGTAACATATTTACCAACACATGTTCTACGCCACAATACTTACATTTCAATGTGTGCTGCGTCGGTTCAGCCATTCTCCGCAAGGGTTTTTGAAATTGGTCCGTGCGCAAAGTATTGTGGGGATTTTAAGGATGCGAAGTCTACCCATGTGCAGCCTCGAAATTTCCCCCAAACCAAGGACGCGGCCTCGGTGGAATTCCAAGTATGCTGGACATTGGAACAGTCCTTCTGCGGCACTCGATGACGTAGCATCCTTGAAATATTGGCTTGGAAGCCAGAATCCTCGAGATTGAGAAGCGGCCTTCGCGTCCTTAAAATCCCCACAATGCTTTGCGCACGGACCAATTTCAAAAACCCTTGCGGAGAATGACTGAACCGACGCAGCACACATTTAAATGTAAGTATAGTGGCGTAGAAAATGTGTAGTGTTGGTAAATGTGTTACTTTGTTAAATTTGTTACCACCATAAATGTGTTCCGTGAAAGTAAAGCAAGTTTATAATTAGATAGACATCGTGAGGTATTTATTTTCGGTACAGTTTATGTTGAAACCGTTAGAGAGAGTGGCACACTTGTTAGCCTGTTCCATTCTTCTTCGTTTTCCGAAGCCGTGGCTTGGAAGTATACTTGCTTCGTTTCTGAAGGAAGTGACTTGGAAGTACGCGACTACCAAGCCAGCATCCTCGCGATTGAGAAACGGCCAGAGAGCCAGTTCCACTCTGTATTTCCTGGTTCCTCCCCTTCAGATCCACACTGAGGAGGAGGGGTGTAACTAACATGTGGGTAAAGTACACAAGCTGATAGGCCACATTCACTGCACACAAACAGCTGTTCAGATAACCTGTCACACTAGTTTCAACTCTCAGGAAGTGAAACTCACACACTCGCTCCCACTGAGAGGTGAAATGGCGCAGAGAGGAGTTCAGCTGGACCGGGAAACCTTAATATCTTGTCCCATCTGTCTGGATCTACTGAAGGATCCGGTGACCACTTCCTGTGGACACAGCTACTGCATGAAGTGTATTAAAGGCTTCTGGGACGGAGAGGATGAGAAGAAGATCCACAGCTGCCCTCAGTGTAGGCAGAGCTTCACATCGAGGCCTGTCCTGCTGAAGAACACCATGCTAGCAGCTTTAGTGGAGGAGCTGAAGAAGAATGGACCCCCACATGCTCCTGCTGATCTCTGCTATGCTGGAGCTGGAGATGTGGCCTGTGATGTCTGCACTGGGAGGAAGCTGAGAGCCTGTAAGTCCTGCCTTGTGTGTCTGGCCTCTTACTGTGACAAACACCTCCAGCCTCATTATGAATCAGCTGTCTTTAAAAAACACAAGCTGGTGGAGCCCTCCAAGAAGCTCCAGGAGAACATCTGCTCTCGTCACGACGAGGTGATGAAGCTGTTCTGCCGCACTGATGAGCAGTGTATCTGTTATCTCTGCTCTGTGGACGAACACAAAGGCCACGACACGGTGTCAGCTGCAGCAGAGAGGGCTGAGAGGCAGAGAGAGCTGAAGAGGAGTCCACTAAACATCCAGCAGAGGATCCAGGACGGAGAGAAGGAGGTGAAGCGGCTTCAGCAGGAGGTAGAGGCCGTCAATGGCTCTGCTGATAAAGCAGTGGAGGACAGTGAGAAGGCGTTCACTGAGCTGATCCGTCTCATGGAGAAGAGAAGCTCTGATGTAAAGCAGAAGCTCAGATCCCAGCAGAAAAGAGAAGTGAGTCGAGTCAGAGAGCTCCAGGAGAAGCTGGAGCAGGAGATCTCTGAGCTGAAGAGGAGAGACGCTGAGCTGAAGCTGCTGTCTCACACAGAGGATCACAACCACTTTCTGCACAGCTACCCCTCACTGTCAGCCCTCAGTGAACCTACACACTCCTCCAGCATCAACATCCGTCCTCTGAGCTACTTTGAGGACGTGACGGCGGCCCTGTCAGCAGTCAGAGACAAACTACAGGACGTCCTGAGAGAGGAATGGACAAACATCTCACCGACTGAAGTGGATGTTTTATTGCCAGCAGCAGAGCCCGCCACCAGAGCTGGGTTCTTCAAATATTCACAGGAGATCACTCTGGATCCAAACACAGCAAACACACGGCTGGTATTATCTGAGGGGGGCAGAAAAGCAACATTCGTGAAGCAACAACAGTCTTATTCTCGTCACCCAGACAGATTCACTGGATGTTATGCTCAGGTCCTGAGTAGAGAGAGTCTGACTGGACGTTGTTACTGGGAGGTGGAGTGGAGAGGGGGAGCAGTTCGTGTAGCAGTCGCATACAAGAATATCAGCAGAGCAGGGTGGGGGGATGAATGTGTATTTGGACTCAATGACAAATCTTGGTCCTTAGATTGTAACAAAAACAGTTATTCATTTTGTTACAACAGTATCGACACTCTCGTCTCAGGTCCTCAGTCCTCCAGAGTAGGAGTGTACCTGGATCACAGAGCAGGTGTTCTGTCCTTCTACAGCGTCTCTGAAGCCATGACTCTCCTCCACAGAGTGCAGACCACATTCACTCAGCCGCTGCATGCTGGAGTTTATCTTGATTATGATTATGGAAACACTTCTGAGTTTTGTAAACTCAAATAGCCTGAAGTCATTGAAGGAACTCTTCTACTTCTTAAACTCACCGTGTGTTCATCAGAGCTGATTGTCCATGTCTTCACTGTAGAGATCAGCTGTCAATCAAACATTATGGGATGTGCTTCAACATCTTCTCATGAGTTGTTCTGTAGATGTTGGACTTTCTTCCGGCTCCTTCCTGTGTCTGTGTAGCCATGGAGGCTGTCACTGCTCAGGAGGATCCTTGTTAACCTGAACTGATATGTAAACTTTGCTCTAAATATGTGTTGGATATTTCTTTTGATTCATGTTGTTGTTTCTCTTGTAGTGCACAAGTCTTCAGAGAGAAAGCAGCACAGCTTCTTTTATTGTACACATTTTATTCTGGCCACTTTCTAAAACAATAGAGACATTTATAATAATTAAATATAATTTATAATGTATTATTTTGACAGATTAAATGTTATTGTTGCTAACACATGAGTTCCCCAGATGGTTATAACACTTATTTCATCATAACATGTTTATTTAAAATGATATTACTTGATGATCATAATCAATAAGTACATCATTTATTATTCTCCTGTAAATAGCTTAGAGTCTTTGCTTGGGAAATAAATTGTATAATATTACAGTTATTGTTTTGCACACTAATTGTTCTTCTTGTTGTTGTTGTTGTTGTTATTGTTATCCAAACAGAAAGTGGGTACTCTGATGTTTTATAGAACATACATTATCATGATAATAATCAATAAGGAAATCATGTATGATTCTGTTTGAAATAGCTGAGATTAAACACATTCATGGTGTGGATAAAGTGAAACTGATCATGAAATCATTGAACAGACTTTACTGATGGGGTGTGTGATCAAATTAAATGTTTGGATAATTAATAAAGGTTTGTCTTTCAAAAACAAAAAAAAGTGGAAGTGATCTGAGACTAAATGAAGCTCAGCGCAAGTTCAACCAGGAAGACCGTCTTTACTCATTCATTTACTATTTCCATGTTACTCTCTCTCCTCTCAATAAGTGATCGGGGGCGTCACTCCCCAGCTTAACCAATCACTTCGCTCTATTCTCACAAGCCTATCATAGCGCTCCGCTAACCCTTTTAAGTCTGCTCTCCCCCCTCTGTCAGCTGTCATTTCAGGTGACTCGACGCAACCCTCCTCCTCCCCTTTTCACCTCCTGTCCCTCTGAATCCAAGCTAAGCCCCTCCCCTTCAGACCAAACCCAACCATCCATTCACCACCACCAGTGTAGACCCCGGGGGGTTTCATCGGATCGCTTCTCCCCTCCCGAATGATACTCCCGCAGAACGAGGCCTTATCACCAAAACTCCATTACATTAATTTGTGTATTCCTGGCAATAAATATGTATTCTTACATCAAAACCGTCTCTCCTGATTGAATAACTGAGTTTCCTCCTGAAACAAAGCACAGTGTTCATCATCACCAAAACCGTGCCGCGCCACACTAATTGCGCCGCATAAGCTCATGGGTGCGCAGTATTTTCGGCTCAGTTGAGGCACCCTCCGCAAGATGAGGCATCCTCCGCAAGATGAGGCACCCTCCGAGGCCCCCTCCGCAAGATGAGGCACCCTCCGCAAGATGAGGCCCCCTCCGCAAGATCAGGCACCCTCCGCAAGATGAGGCACCCTCCCAGTCTGCATGATCGGCCTGTAGGGAGGGATGGCCCTGCTTATTAGCTGGCCCTAACGTGTAAAGTTATACAAGCATTTGTACCAGTGCTTTTCACAAGTAACTCTTGCAGGCCAGAGTAGCTGGAGTGATTCAACAACAACAAAAAGACATAGGCCTATCTGAGAAGTGATCAGGATGAGTAGAAAGAGGAAAAGGAAAAGAGAGTACACTGAAGAGACCAGGAGGGTTAGAGCAGGAGGAAGCCAGGAAGAGATCAAGACATTAGTGAAGAAGAAGAAATGTATGTGAGGAATACAGATGAAGTGTCAGAAAGAGGGACAGAGGCAGTGATCAGGAGGCAGATGAGACTCCAGCTGGACCACATGGTATGTTATTATTCTCCTTGCATACATATGCCATTATAGCAGCACAATCTAGCGGCTCTTATTGACAAATATGTATTGAAATGTGTCACCTTTAGCTCTCTTAAGAGATGGGTGATGTCATTTGTGTACTTCATTATAAGTACCTTTACTGTACTTACAGTAAACAGAATTCTAGGGTATCATGAGTATTTTCTGCTGTTTTACACTATATTTGAGTTTGTTGGTCTGAACACCTTGTTTCTCTTGTGCATTAAGTTAGGGCATGATTTAACAATAAATAGGTTATATACAGTATAAGATACCACGTACTGTCCGCCCTCCCATGCCACCCTGGCATGACCTCTTGCTCCCCCTTTGCCACCCCATGTAAAATGTTCTAGAACCGCCACTGCCTATCTGCCTGTCAGCCTTCCATCTGTGCACAAATTTATCTCGTGCCCTCATTGGTCATGGGCGCGTTCGTGCGTGCTGGAGGAGGGGTTCTGTAAGGAAGTGGCAGATTTTTTTACG